AAAAGACAGAAATAGTGTCATTTGCAAAGTCATGAATGAACCTGGAGGACATTATGCTAAATGAAATGAAGCAGACACAGAAGAGTAACACATGACCTCATTTATATGTAAATAAATAAATAAATAAATAAATAAATGCCCCCAAACGTGCACTCAGAGTTTTACAGAGAAGAAACTGGTAAAGAGAAGCTGAAGAGATTTTGGTGGAAGGAAATAAGGTTTCAGTAAGACAGAAGAACATACTCGGAAGACTTGAGATACAGCATGGTGACATTAACAAACAGTGGCATACTACATTCTTAAAAATTGCCCACAGCAGAGCTTAGGTGTTCTCACCACAAAAGGAACAGAGAAACACAAGACAATGCATAAGTTAATTAGCTTGTTCTAGCCATTCTACCATGTATGCAAGATTCAAAACATCACGTTGCACATAATAAATGTACAGTGTTTTGCCAAGTTAAACAATTGGTTCATGAGCAAACATAGCAATCCAAATCCTAGAATCTAGAATTAAAGGTCATCTAGGCCTATTATTATCAAGTACACTTTTGGGCCATTCTGGCCAGAAATCTCTATAACTGGTAGCTCTCTTTGTTTTCCTGAGGCATATATAGGTCTCTGGTGAGGCATACACTTTCCCCAAGACCTGCTCCTATTTCAGGTTTCACCTGATAAGGTGAAGAACGCTACCTGATCCAAGCCAGATAGAGTAGCATTCACCCTAGATTATTTTCCAGAGGACGGTGACCCAGTGTGTCTATCAAATGGGCAAACTGAATATTGTGGGCTGCTCTGGAATAGTCTGAAGCTAACAGAAGGGCAGCAACCGCAGGCGGAGGGAGGGAGGAAACCCAGTGGAACCCAGTCCTCCAGCCTAAGATCTTTCTGGGCCTACCTGTATCTCCAACCCTCCTACAGTGGGCCACTCCAACTTTTCCTAGATTGAACCAATACACACCAGTACAGACATTTATAAGCTCCCACCCTCCCTTCTGAGGATGTTTTAGTCAGTGTCAATTAAGCATTCTGTCGTTTTGTCAGAGTTTTATTGATGTGATGAGACTTTTTGAGACAGGGTTTCTGTGGATAACAGCCCTGGCTGTCCTGGACCTGGCTCTGTAGACCAGGCTGGTCTTGAACTCACAGAGATCCTGCTTCTGCCTCTTGAGTGCTGGCATTAAAGGTTATGTGCCACCACACCCAGCACCAAGGCCATTCGTGTAAAGGAAAGCATCTAATTGGGGCTGGCTTATAGTTCAGAGGTTCAGTCCATTACCATCACCGCAAGAAGCATGGCAGTGTGGAGGCAGACATGGTGTTAGAGAGGTAGCTGAAGAAGTTCTACATCTGGATCAGAGTGCCATCGGGCTACTGAAACCCTCAAATCCACTCCCAGTGAAACACTTCCTCCAACAAGGCCACACCTCCTCCACACCTCCCAACAGTGCTGTTCCCAATGAGCCTATGGGGGCCATTTTCATTCAGATCACCACCCCTCCCAAGCATGGCAGGGGGTGGGAGGGGCGTCCAGTTCTACCGCACATGCTTTAGGTGTGATTAACAAGGAAACACAATGGTATAAACCAGGGTGGATGATGGGAGTGAAGAGTACATCTTCAAGCTCTTCTTCAGGTGCAGGGGACGATGACGAGGCCTTGTGGTTGTACAGGTTAGAACCTCCCAACAGAGCAGTATACAAAACAGTGAGGCTCTACCTCCCAAAGGTCCCCCAACCTTCCCAAACAGCACTACCAGCTAGGGACCAGGCAGGCGTTTAATCGTGTGAGCCTATGGGGGACATTTCTCAAAGGGGAAAAGCCAAAGCATTCACGTCTCATTGGCCATGCAACTCTGCTGGAAAGAAACACAGCCAGAGACGATGGTCTGAGGCTCTTGTGCCATGCTTTTTGCACACATGATTCTGACACGCCTCCTTTGTGGGTCTTTATGGCAGAGAATTCACAGCAAACAAATTGGCATCCCAGTGAGACGTTGCTTTTCTCCGAGGTTTGCTCCCAGGGAGGGCATAGATTATTGGTTATATTAACGTGAGTTACCTGACTTAAAGGATAACCGTCTCCCTTTTAAAAATAACAAACACCAAGGGTTTAGTATCACTATGGAAAATGGCGTTACAGGAAGTCTGGCCTCCAGCAACATCTGGTCTCTGGACACTACCCAAGTCAACTGGTCAAACTCACAGTGATGAGGACCTTGGCAGTCTTACTGTTTTAATCATACAAAGTTGGCAATTTATATATTAATGTCACCTTATGAAGCCTTTTAGAATGAGTTGGTAGCTTCCAAGTGGTCACAAGTGTGAATGCCTATGCCATCGTCACAGATTATTATTATTATTATTATTATTATTATTATTATTGGATGGATAACATTTGAGTCCAGTGGAACTAAGGCTGGTCATGTTTACATAGGTGAGTCTTGAGTTTGGATCAACCTGATTCTAAAGCCTGTGTTCTTTTGTGTATCATGTTGGGTAAGCATCTCCACAATTCACAAAATCTTCACAGACAGTGTTTAATTCACTCCTCATAAGAACCTGAATATTTATCCCTACTGTACAAATGGGTTTTGGGAGCCCATTCCACATAGAGGGATACCTTCTCAGCCTAGACACACGAGAGAGGGCCTAGGCCCTGCTCCAAATGACATAACAGACTTTGAAGACTCCCCATGGAAGGCCTCACCCTCCCTGGGGGTGGGGTGGGGGTTTGGTAGGGGGGAGGAGAGGACGGGAGAGAGAAAGAACTGGGATTGGTATGTAAAATAAGGTTGCTTTCAAATTAAATAAAAATTTATTGAAAAAACAACAAAAGAGTTGTGCCCGAATATCATGCTGTTGACAGAGTTCAGCTTTACACTGTACCTGACCGGGCTATGAGGGTCCCTGCAGCGGTGTCCAAGATGAGAGGCCTTGGGCAGGGACGGCAGGATCTAAGGGTTACCATGATAGCATCTTCCCTCAGCTCATAAGTGAGACTGTTTCTAGACTAGGAGGGAGTTCCCAAAGCAAGACAGGAGAGGAGAGACTTAAAAGAAAGGCAAGGGCCACACAAACATTTAGGAACTTCTGCCTGCAGGCCAGTTTGTAAGCCAGGTAAGTAAAAAAGAAGAGTCTCTCCTTGTCAAAACTCTTCGAGGCATCTCCAAATAGTGCCATGGCTGCTCTCAGGGCTCTGGAAGCCACTACCTCCAGCCCTGAGGCCTTCTGGTCTTTGCTAAACTATGACAAGGCAATCTTCACCTTGCATTCCAAAATTCCTGGTTCTCAGTGCTGACCCCTGCTGGCCAGTCTGGGATAGAAGGTGTGTTAGATTCGGTATCCAGGTCACTTTACCAGGTCTAAGATCTCCCAAGGCAAAGCATACTCGCATTAGCATTCACATGTTTTACAGGGGACCTCCAAGCTTCCTAGGGCTGACAGTGCCTGCCTTCTGACTCAGTGTACTTTCCACTGGGAGTAAGGCAGGCCAGGGATCCTTGCAATGTCTTCAGACAGCATTGTAATATTATTTTCTCCTAAAGCTACTGCCTTCAAAATTGTCTCTTGTGTGGAACAGGGAGATTGGGCTATGCCCAAGCCCTACAGAGAAAAGTCCTGGATGCATCACCGTGGGATGGTTCCCTGTCCCCAGGGCCCACGCTTTCCTACATTCCTCTTCCCAATGGAAAAATAAAGGCCGATTTCACTGCCCAGTTTCCTATATGGAAATCTATATCCTGGTAAGCATGGCGACCCTTCAGTTCATGAGGTTTTTCAAATCATCATTTCCTTTAGAAATCTGGGTTATAATTTATTCTTTCTAAGTTAAATACAGTAGCAGACTATTGCCTTTAGGTATAGATTGATTGATTCCCCCAATGGGTGGTGTAAAGTTTACCGTATTTTATGCCCTCTTTGCCTAATGCCCCCAAAGATTTCTCTTTAGACATATAATGTCTCTAAATTAAGGCACTTAAAAATTCTCCGAGGCTTTTGCATTATATGGGAACATAATAAGTTGGCCAATATGGTTATTAATTGGTTCTTGAAGCAGAGATGTTATGGGAGAATTGTCCATTTTCTTTATGTGTAAGCTCAACAATTCATGCTTCATCTCCTCGCGGGGGCTCAAAACCAGGCTCTTCATGTATTATCCAGATGTCATTTCATCTCAGATACATAGGAACCCTTATATGAAAATGAAGATATTATGTCCCAAGAAATGCCAACCATAACTAAAATTGCCTATAAGACATCTTCCTAAACAACCTTAAGTAAATAATGGGCCCATAGCTTTATTTAATCCTGCATGCAAATTTAATTTTCATAAAAATTTAAAATACTTTTATTCTAATATTCCTAAGCAAAACCCCGTAAGCCATACAATGGGGGGGGGGGATGATGTCTTGCAAAATCATTAAGTATTTGACATTTGATCACCCAATACGATAATCTTCTGAACTGGATGACTTTTTGGCTGCATTACAATTCTACTAGCCTCATAATATCTTAAAGCACTGACCACTGTCACCAAACCTGCTTCTGGGTCATAGTTAGAAGTGAAAGAAGGTTCAGTGCTGTGCTGGAGACGGGTACTGCATCACAATAAAACTAACATTCTAAAACCCCTAACTCCAGGGATCGAAAACATTCTTTTGCCATGTTGCTGCACACGGATTATGAAAAATGGGGAAGAAAAAAAAATCAAACCATGCCTTTCTTAGCGTGTTTTTTTCCTAACTAGAAGACAAGAGTGTGTGCCGGGAGCTCAGCTGGCCTTCTGTGCTGTTACTGGGGGAAAGAACAGGCCCTGCCATTTTGTTGGGACTTCTCACAATCTAAAAAAGACGCCATGTTTTAAAGTCACCACTGTCCCCTAGCATGATCATTCATTTGCTGTTTGGACGTAAATGATTCTTAATTGCATCAGTATTTACATAAACAGCAACCTGAAGATGGGGCAATTCACAGGCGGGTTCCCAATACCCCACAGTACCTGTTCCTGTGACTCCAATTCTGACCTCCGACAGGAAGAACTTGCTGTTTTCACCGGGTCTGGAAACAGGTGTGCAGAGAAGCGACGGCGGCAGCGAGCTGAGGAGCTCTACTCCATACCCGGTCCACTGTGGTAGAGCAAAGCGCCAGTCCCTGCCATCCTTCCCTCTGGGGTGCACAGGTCAGTGGAGTCGGGTTACTTTTCATTTGTTACTTTATCAGCCAATTGGTCATCCTTCTGGAAAACATAATAAGGGATGAATAAAACATACATGACCATCCAGTCTGCTATTCCAGAGCATCCTGACACCGAACCTATGCAGCATCCACCCTTCATTAGCCGGTGTGTGGCCCAGCCAGCTCTAAGTGCAACAGCCCCTTGCTTCCAGCAGGACTTCTCTGCGCTCCTCGCCTGTGGAGCAGCTCCCTCCAGATTTCATTATCTTTTCGATAAAAGGGAGACAGGCTTTGGAGCTGTGGGCCTCAAGAGTTAAGACTTCAAGAAGGGACAGTAATCAAGTCAATTGTGGAAATATAAATGTGGATTTCTGGGTAGATGCTACAGCGTCATGTAAAGCAGTAAGCAGACCCAGCAATGACTCCCTGAACAAAAACAACCAAGTAGATCAGGAAAGAACCTCACCGTGAGATTTGGTATATACCCAATGGGTGGACGAAGTAAAGGGGCTTCCTGGTGTATGCTCTCACACATAGGATGCTATTGCACGCCTAGATATAGAGGGTTTCTGAACACATGTCACCAAAAGATACAGCCAGAGCCCAGTGAGACGTCCTAGAAGGAGTTTCAAATGATGCTAGTCAAAGGGAGAACTGATGGATGGCGCATATGCAACTGACCTAAAAAGCATCAGACTGAAGGCGTTGTGAAGTGAACGGCTCACAGTTTGGAAAGCACTTAGAAGGGCCAGGGTGGACCTAAAGGGACCTTTCTTGTGGAGATTGAAACAACCGTACTGGTGATGAGAAGGGTGTGAGATTGTAATTGTCATGGTTTGAATCCAAAACGGCCCACAGGTTCATGTTTTTAGTACTTGTTCCCTGGATGTTGGTGGCATTTGGGAGATTCTGGAAACTCCAGGAGGTATGGGTAAACGGTGGAAGTAGGACACTGTGGATAAGCCTGTGAAGATTATACCCAACCCCTGGTCTGCCCCAATCTACTTCCTGATTAGCCATATTGTAAATAGGCTCTCTACTTCCTCTCTTGTTACCACAGACAAAGTTGCTACCCTCCCCTCTCTACCATGATGGAATGAAACCCTCTGAAATTAGGAGTCAAAATAAACCCTTCCTTGGTTGTCTCTGCTAGGTATTCTGTTCACTGTGATAGAAAAATAAATGAATACCCTAATCCACCCCCCCACACACACCATCTTCTATGAAGGAGTTTCACTGTTCCCTTAGAGGCTCATCAGAACCCTTTCTATCAGAACCTTTTCTACGTCATTCTCAATGAAAACACATGGTTAGGGTTATCTGAAAAAATAATATATTAGCACAGAATCCGCAGTGGCACCCATCAGACAGAGTCCTTGAATGCTCAGCCAAATCAGCAAGTATGAGGGTGCATGGTCTTTCATTTCAATTTCCTATCTCAGAAGGCTCAAATAACACTCTCGTTAAACAAGGGATGTGCAGGGACACACAGCGCTAACAAGCATCTTCATTCAAAGGCTTCCTAACAGCACGAATAAAGGCAGCCTTGCTGTTCCCCTTACATTTTGCGTCACCTGTAGACATCACTGCCGTGTTGTGACTCTGAAATGCACCCACAGTCCCATGTGTTGAACCCTTTGTCTCCAGGCAGTTATGCTCTTTTGAGAAGTGACCTATCGAGAATAAGGAGGTCGCTAGAGGTGTGGCTTTGAAGGTCACATATGATCCTCAGTCCCTTTCCCTGTCTGTTTCCTGTCCACCATGAGGTGAACTGTCCTCAGTGTTGGGCAACAAAGTACATGGAGTCAGAAAACCACAGACAGAAACCCCCAAGACCATGAACCAAATAAACCTTTCCCTCTGTAAGTCCTTTGTCAAATGGGTTGTCACAGAGATAGCAAGTCTGACTAGCAGCTGCTGTTTGGGTAAGATTATTAGCCATCATCATCACTATCATCATTATCATCACTATCATCGTCATCACTACCATCATCATCATCACTATCATCATCATCATCACTATCATCGTCATCACTATCATCATCATCGTCACTATCATCATCATCATCATCATCACTATCATCGTCATCACTACCATCATCATCATCACTATCATCATCATCATCATCACTATCACTGTCATTTATAGAACACAGGCCACTGTGTTAGAACAAATGTGGAAAGGAAAACACAGGTTTGTTTCTTTGGTCCTGTACAATGAAGACACAACAGTGTCTCAGCCATAACTACATGATGACTCTGGCAGCCCTGTAGAATCGAGTTCTATACATCATAGGAAGCAAACAGGTTATTTCCTAGCATGTCTTGTTACTTTTATAAGTTTTCAAAGGAACTTTTGATAACTATCTACAAAGCCCACCATCCTGGTTTCAAAGCTGAGGCCCATTGGTTCCCACCTGGAGATCTTGCAAATTTTTTTTTTAAGTTACAAAGGGGCTGAGATTTAATTTGGCCAAATCTGCAAATCTGTGGAAAGTATGGAACCTTGGAAGGTGAATGAGGAAGGACTAGATCCGGGTGTTAAAAAAAAGAGTGGCTCACAACCCTCCTAAGAACGTTGTGCAGGCTAGGGCCACACGAACTACCCCAAAGCAAGATCCAGCAATGTGGTTGGGCTTGAGGATTTTCAAAGAGCTCCCCAAATGTTTCTAGGGAGACACCCAGCTGAGAGCTTCTGTTGACCCTGTATGAGAGAGAGCAGAGTCAGGAGCTCTTTAGTTAAGTGGAAAACATCTGCCTGCCGAGCGCCCTCTGGAAGACGTTTCCACAGCTCAGGTTTCCTCAGGAAACAGTTGCTGAACATAATGACATCTACGTGATTAAACACAAAGTCAAATTCAGTTTCAGAAAATTTACCCCAAGCTCCAGTATCTGAAACATAATATCCCCATTTTCTTAGGTTTCCAGCAAGTCACTCAGTCTCTTTAAGTATAGAGCACACAGGCTCTTTAATACCTCCCAAGACTATTGTAAACTGTCGACTACAAAATGTCAACAAATGCACTATGGACTTTTATAGCCCATTGCTTTCTGGGATTAGTTTGGACTGATTAAGAAGATGTGTGTGTGTGTGTGTGTGTGTTTCTGAGAGAGAGTGTGTGTGTATGTGTGTGTGAGTGTGTGTGTGTATGTGAGTGTGTATGTGTTTCTTATGTCTTTTTTATTTTAGATTTTTGTTGTTGTTATTGTTTGCTTTCTGAAGAGAGAGAAGCATGCTGTTGGTGAGTGAGGAGGTGGGGAGGGTCTGGGAGGAGTTGAGAGAGAGCAAACTGTGACCAGAATATATTTTATAGAACAAATTTCCAAAAGTATTAGTGTTGGATGTAGTGGTATATGCCTTTAATCCTAGCACTCAGGAAACGGAGGTAGGTAGATCTCTGATGGGACATGTCATCCTGTAAATATGTTTCTCTTTCTGGTTAACTGTTGGCCAATAGGAAAGCAAGATAGGTGGGACTAGGAGACAAGGAGGATTATGGGAGAGGTAGTAGAGGAGATTCAAGATGTAGGGAAGAGATCCGGACTCTCTCTCCGGTAAGATGAGACCATGTGGGAACACTTCGATTAATAGAAATGGGTTAGTATTTAAGACAGAGCTAGTCAATAAGAAACACTAGTAACAGGTTAACAGCTTTATATCGACTACAGCGTCTCTGTGTGTTATTTGGGACTGATGTGGCTGTGGGACCAGGTTGGTGGGAAAACTGCTCATAACAGATCTCTTGTGAGGTCAAAATTAGCCTGGTCTAAATAGTAAGTTCCAGGGTTCCAGAGCTAAGTAGAGAGATCCTGTCTTAAGAAAAGATGGGGGGAGGAGTAGAAGGAGAGACAGAAAGGGAGGGATTGGGTGGGGGCTTATTGTCTCCCTTCCTAAATCAGAACCTGGGACACAGAAGTGCTTTAAGAGTTTGAATGTGCAATCCTGACAGGTTTCATTCCACATCTGTAATTCATCACTAGGCTGAATGACTTCCTGTTACGTCGTGTGAGGCACTTTGCCCAGTGGTGCGGTGATTCAAAGATGGCCGCCATGATGACCGTGATCACACCAGTGCTGGAGATGGGAGCAGCTGACACTAACAAGACTAGCTCACTGAAGCCCTAGAAACAAATAAAGTGGTTAAAAAAAATAATACTTTCTTATTCCTAAAATTCAGTGTTGCTAGCTGACCTGAACAAGGGCTCGTGGACCGCAGACTGATAGCTGGGAAACCAGCATAGGACTGACCCAGACTCCCTGAACGTGTGGGTGTCAGTTAGAGGCCTGGGCAGTCTATGGGGCCTCTGGTAGTGGATCAGTATTTATCCCTAGTGGATGTATGAACTTTGGGAGCCCATTCCACATAGAGGGATGCTCTCTCAGCCTGGGCCCTGTTCCAAATGACATAACAGACTTTTAAGGTCCCCCCATGGCAGGCCTCACCCTCCCTGGGGAGCAGAAAGAGGATGGGATGGGCATTGGTGGGGGGCAGGGCAGGAGGGTAGAGAGAGGGAACTGGGGTTGACATGTAAAACAAGCTTGTTTCTAATTTAAATTTTAAAAGAGGAAAAAAAAATTCGGTGTTGTTAAATGGTCACAGAGTTTGGGATGATAGTGACAAAGACTTTGAATTCTGGTTTTCTCTCTGGAACTCCAGCCTAGTGTGCCTCTCTGTCTGGCCTGCACCACACGGTTTTAGGATGAGTCATAAGAACTCAGTTTATTCTTTTCTTTATTTCACTTATGTGTTTACTTTGTGTGGGTGGGCAGTCGTGTGCCACAGCAAAAATGAGGTGATCACTTTTGGGAGCAGGTTCTCCCTTTCCACCATGTGGGGGTTCAGGGATCAGACTCCAGCCGTGGGGCTTGGCAGCAAGTCCCTGTACCCACTGAGCCATCTTGCCAGCCCCTAAAAGCTTAAAGGAGACTCTCCCACCTGGATGTCTGAGCTCTCAGTATCTTATCAAATTCCCCATTCCTCACACTTGGTACCCTGAACTACTTTCAATAAGAACACTAAGGTCAACTTCGCCAAACTCCTTCCCATCCCTGAAGTTTCC